AGAGTTGAGAAATTTAAGAATTTGGAGACTTCGTGGGTTTAGGAAAATCGGAAGCAAGGAATCTAAATATCTACTAATCCAATAATATTATATAGGAACCTCTCGTTTCTGAGCTAATTTCGGGATCGCTACGCGTTATACATGAGAACCAGGCTTAAGACTTAGTCTCGACGGAGTTTCCGACATCGACATCAAGAAAGGAATAGGGAGGTAGGTGGAAAGGGGGGAGAGGAAGAAGTCGCGGATTAGTTTCGCTCGCACGTGTGTTCGCTGAGAACTCAATCTAGAGATTCGGTTTGCAGTTCGAGAGACAGGATGACGTTGTGACATCGTCGTCGACGTCCCTTATAATAGACAGACAGAGAGAGAGAAAGAGAGAGAGAGAGAGAGAATAGTCTAATTACGAAATTCTTAATCAATCGTCTCGATTTGTTTGCAACTTTATAAATTTGAGAAGCCTCAGATTTGATCATTTATTGGTCTTAGAAGGATAACACTGTTTTAATAAAACAAAACTTCAGAAAGTGGCGTATTTTGAAAAATTTGCAATTACAGTTTCAGAAGAAGATTATTTTTAATTTTAGACATACTTTGTCACATTATAACTATAATTTATGATATGTTGGAGAAATTTTATTATAATCAAAATTAAATATGTTATTAGGACATTTAATTTTTATAAGGATTATTTATAATTGCTATGTTTAATAAGATTATATGATTAAATACGGGGTTTATCACGAAAAAGCTATGAATTTTAGATTTGAAAATTTACTAAACAGTTTTCGATTATATTTATGGTACTTAAACTTAATTGGAAATTTCTTTACATTAATATATACAAATACATCCGGTGTCAAAATTTATAAATTCAAAATTATAAAAGATATGTATACACTTTTCACAAAAATACAAATATTTTTTAAGTTTTAACGTCTGCCATATCGAACCAATCATTTTGAATTTGTCAAATTTGATGTCAGATTCGTATTTTAGAGCTAAAATACTCTTAGATTTAAATACATATTATTGACAACTATTTGCTAAATCGTCAATGTCACCTAATTCACAGATTTTTAGAATAGACTTTATATTTAATCATGTTTTCTTAACTATAACCCACAGGCCGACAAAATTTAGGAGGAAGGGGTCTTATGCTTTGAACTTTGTGAAGAATATTTTTGTAGAATTTTGATGCGCTGAAAACGACTATGCTATCCATTTTTGTTCACCACCCTTTATTTTCCATTAAAACAGTTTTTTTGGAAGTAACTTTTTATTAATTTTTTCCGGTTAAACAAAAAATGATATGAAGTCTGTTTTGCGGCATTTAATTCAGAAATGTTTCAATAATATTAAAAATATTTTTTCGATGCTTATAAAAATGTTTTATACAAGCTGCAAACAAAAAAACTTTGAAATAATCGTTAAAAACTAGGAAAAAATGACGAATTTTTAAATATAAATCCTAATAATTCGAAAAAATAATCGTAAAAAATATTTTACAATTTAAACTTATTACTGAATGTTTCTAATTTAAATTTCCTTTTTTGAAAAACTACTTTCCGATCATTTGTTCAGAAATTATTGAATTTAAAGCGCCAATAGCAGCCCGTGCGTTATCTACGGTGCGCGACATCCTCTCGAGCCTGACACATACAGCCACCGAATACACGGATATGTTGTGTATGGTTTTTTGTCACTGATTTCAAATCTGGAGTAAAAAGTAAACAATTCAAAATGGTGGATCCAATATGCAGGATTTTTAAAAATCCGTACGATTACCGATTTACATGAAAATCGATATGTGATTTTGTAAGTTCCGATCGCTCAAAGAAAAGTTGGCATTTATCTCTTCCATGAGGCCCCTAATCGCGGCTGAATTAAGCTGAATATGTTTACCAATATTCAATTCGCTATTTTGCTCCGAATCTACACGAGTATGACGTAAACTTAAACAGAATACGGGAAAGTGGTAGAAATGCGCAGTAGTCTGATACGAAATGAACATACTCTTGTATTTGTATGCAGGTTACAGTAAAATGTATAGCACTGGAAATAACTCACTCACAAGCGTGCGATTAACTTAGTGTATTAGACTACCATTCTAAGGATACTAGGTTTATATCTCGTCGCGCGCAGTGATGCGAAGCACGCATTTTTCAAAAATTGTATTTAATAAAATAAAATATATATTCATGCGCGAAACACACAAGTAAACACAAATGAAACTAGAAAAATAAAAAGTAATAATAACAAAAATATTTTTTCCATTAAAATATAACCGTAATTTATTTTAAATAAAAAAAATTTTTTTATGTAAGAAAATTTCCTGTTACATATAAAAAATATATTACATTTCATTCTCATAAAAAAAATTTGTGTTTAAATAAAGTGTGCAAAAATTCAACTAACAATAAGTAAGAATTTTTCCGAAGTAACCCTCTTTTTTGATCTAATGTTTCTGAGCTAACTAGATAAAACGTGATGTTACTAGCGTAGTGTTTGCAAGTTTGCCTAGCTCCTGACATGACAGTATACTATCCACACAAGGGTCATACTAGCACCTTATCTTTTCTACCAGAGACGTAATACACATATATAATAAAAAATTTAAAGTAAATTAAATAATATTAAATATCAAGTATATATGGTCTCTTTTCTGTTTCTGAAGAGAATTTTATTACTCAATTTTGACAAATATCAAACATATACTTAGGTATCTCACTTTAAGTTCCAAAAGTATCTACTAGTTATGGAAAACAGACTATAAAGTTATATTATGAAATACATCTAGTATTTTGCAATATTATTATGTACTTGTATATACTCGTATATTCCTACAATAAAATATAATATATACTTTTATATAAATATTTGATAAATTAAGTGAATTATAAAAATATGTATTAATAAGATAAAGTTATATATTATATAATTTAACTATAATATACTTATAAGGAGTATAATTTACGACGGTGAAAAACCTGTGCCTAAAAATGTCGCATCTACTTTCTACCTTCAAGAAAAATGAAGGAGCATCATAGCAAAGTTTTTACTGCATACTAATCATTCAGTGTGACAGGATATCTCGGAGTTATCTTTGGGCCGATATTCAGGCCCAAACGTTTTGAATACGGAAGGAAATATAATCATCGATCTGAATTAAAACGAAAATTATTCTAAAGATTAATTAAGGAACAATTTAATACATCAAATTGATTAAAAAAAAAATCAATGTTCAATACAAATAAATTAATAAGGAAAAATAATAAAATAAATCAATTAAAATTTATATCAGAATAAAAATGGCATTAATTAACAAATCAAAATGAAATAACAATTTTTGAAATTATAAATCTATTGTCCATTCAAATCTGAAAAAACAATATCGAAATGTGACTGTAAGAAAGTTTCAGCAATGCTACGATAAAATGATTTATTTAGCAAAAGTAGCGGATTTTTATTGGAAACACGTCGTAACTGGATATCGACAAGTACTCAGATTTTAGGTTGGGGTAGAAATGGAATTCGGAGCAGGGGTATAGCAGCGAGAAGGCCATGAGATGAATTTTAATAAAAAATTGCCAATGTACTCCGCAGTAAGTTACTCGATTTAAGCTTGATGCTGTTGAAAGTTTTTTCGCTCAAAAATAATTTAATAACGAACTTTGCAAAATATTTTTTTGTAACTTAATAACTATCTTAAAAAACAAAGTGTAAAAAATTAAGGCTAATGAGAGCAATTCACTGTAATTAGTGCGATCAAATAAACGTTTTTAATAAATAATATGATAGATACAAATCTAGACGTTTCGGTCTACATCCGGGCAATCTTCAGTAGTCAATTTGTTTTACATATACACAAGCGTTTTGACTTTTGTGATTCTCCGTTATTGACTCATTTGTAAGAAGATCCATGATGTCGGTGACATCGATATTGAAAGACTGGTCTGTGACATCTAAATTAAAAAAATTTTGTTATGACCATTGACATATATTTGAATTTTTGAACACCTTTTTTTTAATTAATTCTTAAGACGATTGAATGTTTTAAATCATGGTGGTGTTGGTAAGTGTTGTTTTTCTTAGCTCATTTTACTCAATTTGCACTTTTTGATGCTTGTCTCCAAATTACGCATAAAACGCATGAGATACCACTTTACCCTTTTTTGTTTTTTAATAAACAACAATGACAAATGATGTATCATGCCCTTTGTGCGTAATTCGAAACGCATTTAAAGATGCATTGGATTAGTATATCTTTATTGGCGATTGAAACTTTATAAACTAAGGACTTCATGGCTACATTTCGTTTCACGCGTAATGCGCATGATGCATCATTTATCCTTGTTCACCAAATGTTAAACAAAGATAAACAATGCATTATGCACACCATGCGTGAAACGGAATGTAAATACTTTAAGTTCTCACAAACAAAAATCTAGAGGGTTTAGATCAGGGGATAGTGGGACATGCAACTGGTCCTGCAAACATTTTGAGCTATGTCTCAGTAACAGCAGATTTACAGATATATATTTATATGAACTTTTTAATGCTTTGGTGTAGAGAACTTGGTTTCAAAGGTTGTTACTTTATTTTAGTTACACCTTATTTTAATTAAATATGTATATTCTTATTAAGAAATTTAAATGTGAAATTAGGGCATTTGAAATTAAGAACGCTATAATTATAGTGTAAGCACTATGACTTTTTCTTTATTGTAAACATAATATCAAATAATTTGTACGTTTCGATTCCTTTTTGAGTCTCCTTTTTAGCGCCGAGACACTATCGTGTTTCTTGATAAAGAATTCGCAATGTCGTTACCAAATTGTTATTAAAACATTTAAAACACTTAAAAATTAAAAATTACAAGTAACTCGTACTTTCTTTCTCTGATATATAGATTATTAATTTGTATATAATAATACAATTTAAATATTCATTTCATATTAATACAGTATGTGTTGTAGAAAAATAACAATTTTTTATTGCAGAAAAAATAGCACAACTTTGGAGAAATTCCATTTACAAATCTCGAGGTTGCAGTTATACTCCGAAGATTCAAAGTATGTGGACCAATTACTTCATGAGATGGCGACCAAGCCAATTCTTCATGTTGGTAAGTAGAATAATCATTAATTAATTGCAAATATTTCATATTTAGTTTCAATTCCTGGCCAATGTAATATTTTTTGCAATAAATTACTCAAAGATGTATAAAATTTTTTGAAAATCTTATTGTATTCTTATTAAACATACTTATTAGCAACAAAAAATTATTAAATTGCTTGAACAATTTAATATTTTTTTATGCTAATAATTTATATTACTATTCTGGTGCTGTTAATGAATACGTTTCAAGACCAGAAAAGATTCCGGCGCGCAGTATACAGAATCTGAATATACATAAATTTACTCAGAAGTATATATTTAATCATTAAAAATCAATTAAAATTTTGTTCTATTTCTATCAATTGAGAATAAAAAACTATTTAATTAACTATTTAATTAAGAAATTGATTATTATATGATCTAACTATTCACGGTCACGACAAGATAGTATATTCTTAAAAAATCGTGAGAAAAATTATATTATTATATTTAAATTACAAAAAAAAAGGAATTTTTTTATATAAATTATAAAATAATATAAAGTTTATGTAAAATTACTAAATTTTTTAAAAGATTATATAAAGATGTGTATATATGGATATATATTTAGATATACAAATTAGTTCGGTCCGTTTTTTGTGTCAAAAATGCATTTATTTCAAAACAAAATGAATGAACAGATTAATTAAAGTATTGTCCATCGCTGGCTACTACTTTTTCCCATCTCTCAAGCATTTTTCGAATTCCATCTCGAAACAATGACTCGTCTTTGGAGGCGATCATCTTTTGGAAAACGGACCGAACTAATTTGTACTCCCAACAGATAATAAATTTTACACAAAATTTACAGATTATTCAATTTGTATTAATTAATATAAGTTTAATACACATTCCTAATCACAAAATAACTAATAGCCGCGTATACTTTTTTAATAATATGATATATTGTCACAATATAGCGACTTGTTCGGACAAACCTAGTTCTATTTTTCGCTAGATATATCGATCTCGGAGAGTCCCGGCTGTTAATCTCGTGAATATTGTATATTTAATTCAGACCACAGACGACGGATGCTTTATTATTTGACCGCAACGAATCATCGTTGCTCGACGAATTATTGACTCACGTTATTTATTGATTGAAAATTATTTTTATGATACAACAGCTTCTCTCTCTCTCTCTCTCTCTCTCTCTCTTTCTCTCTCTCTCTCTCTCTCTCTCTCTCTCTCTCTCTCTCTCTCTCTCTCTCTCTCCCCTCCCTCCTCCCTTCCCTTCCTCCCTTCCCCCCTTTTCTCTCTCTTTCTCTCCCTTTCTCTCTCTTTCGCTCCGCTTTAAACAAATTGCTTAGTACATATAAATATTATTATCTGTCTATTCAATGAATTATTTTATTTACAATGTGTAGTAACGCACGTTCTTCTTTATAAATTTAATTATATTTTGTTTAATATCAAACATTTCCTTATGATATGCATAAAAAAGTAAAATATTAACGAGAAATAAATGTTTTATGTAAAACCAAAATATGTATTAGGTGTACAAATTAGTTCAGTCCATTTTCCAAAAGATGATCGCCTCCAAAGAAGAGTCATTTTTTCGAGATGGAATTCGAAAATTGCCTGAGAGATGGGAAAAAGTAGTAGCCAGCGATGGACAATACTTTAATTAATCTGTTCATTCATTTTGTTTTGGAATAAATGCATTTTTGAACACAAAAATGCATTTATTAACTAACCTTTTTTAAAAATTGTTGACTATTGGATCATATATTATTATTTGTATCTATAAGTAAAAAATACTCTGTAAAAATGAATGGGTGACTTCAGTGCTACACTTAACTGAATCATGAGCGAATATTTACTGTGTTTTTTAATATAATAATACACTGATTCACTTTTAGAAAGTAGAATAGGATTAAATGTATAAAAAATCATATGGTTTCATTTAAAGGAATATCTATCAGTTATATTAATGCTTCTTAAAAAATACATAAGTGTATTCCTAAAAATTTTTTTTTATACATCACCCTTCCCTTTAAACTATGAAAGTTCTATTTGAAATATTTCTAAAAGATTAAAGATAATTGAAATATTTAGGATAAAAAAAATTCAATAAAATTCAACGTACATATTCACCGTATAATTAGTTATACGTACTGTATGTATAACCAATAACCATACTAATTATAGTGTATTATATATTTGATATTTGATATAATTAATGTACATGTGTGTGTATGTTTAGTAATATATCATCATTAATGTTATATTAGTTTCACATCACTTTTCGTTTTGTACTATGTGGTATAAATTAATAGTTGCTAACTAAATACGCTTAAAAGATTTATTATTGATTGATGCCATTTAAAGATTTATTAAATGATTTTTGTTATAGTTCAAAAAGATGGCGGTACACAATTAAAACTAGTTATTGATTACGGCGACAACATGCAGGCATTGTTTAAACCGATGCGGTAAGTATGCAGTGAATACGTATTATATATAATATTATTATTTCTTATTTATTCGTCTTAAACTTAATATATTATATTAATATATTATATTAATGCAACGATGAGGTATCTAGAAATTTTATCTAAATGAAATGTTCGTAGCAAATTTATATAGGTATTAAAAATATAAGTAAAATATAAGTATAAATATAGTAATAAACATCTTGATGCGCACAAGACAACTTTTGGAATAAGATTGCACAAATCCGTTTCCTTATTGTTGGTTTCCTTATCCGTTGCTCATATATTTTTTTAGATCAGATCTATAACCTAAATTTTTAAAAGTCCGACGAGCTGTCTCAGATGGCGTCATAGCGTACCATATGGTACACTGACCCATATCTAGGGCTTTACACAAGTGCGTTCGACTTGTAATAGATGTCCCAGAACGTTGACCGCAGAAGAAGGGTTTCAATTACGTTCTTCAGTGACTTCCTCCTCTCACCCCGAAAATCCCTTTACAATAAAAAATCCTAAGGCTTGGACATAACAGGATTATAATGAAAAAGAAATTTTGCGCGCACAGTCACATTAATTGCATTTTCGTGAATATATTATCTATCAACATTATATTTGCATTATGAAAATATAAAAATAATAGACGTAATACACACACCCACGCACATACGTATGTTTAGTCTTCCTATCTGTAATATTTTGTATTAATTTTCTTATACAAACATGTAAGCGCATATCTGCATGTATATATGTTCTAATTAGCATCGTTATAGCATAAATTAGGAACAATTGCATGCAAATTACGAGCGAGAGGTTAGCTTCTATGACCCGTGTGAACGATGGCGGTGAAACCACAGAATGTCGCAAAGTTCTTGGCGTATCTTGGGATCACAGGCAGACAGCGCGCAAAATTATTTGGGCAGTTTGTCGGTGCAACGACGCCGCGGGATGTTACCACGATACACCCAAATTAACATCAAAGTATTGCTCAAATCGTTGTTTTAAATTCATACATAATCTGTACGTAAATTTGCATTGCTTTTTACTAAAATCACTAAGTTAATTTATTTTAAATAAATTAAGATTTACATTTAAATAAACGATTAACAATTTGGATATTTGATAAAGTAAACGAAATAAAAACATAATGCCTAAGCATCAACTATTGTTTTAACGTTTGTAACACTTTTAAGTTACGTTTACATTTATAATAAAAATCAATTAATTTATGAATAAAAATTTTCTGTTTTTTGCATAAAATTTAAAAATAAAGTTTTATATAGGATTTTTTATTCAATGTTTCAAAATCGATTCCTTTCTCCCAAAATGAAGAATTAATATAACTTTATCATTACTAGTTACTTTTTACCTCTTACATATTATTTTTTAATGATATAGAATCTTAAATCAGTTTATATTAAGTTAACTTTTTTCTAGTAAAAAGGTTAAATCAGTTTCTCATTTCTTATCATCGTTGTAATTAATATTCAAATTGATAGTTTATTTAAGTAAATTCTGTCTAAAATTAGTTAACAAATATAATTTGTAATTAAATTGTTAATTTTTTAAATTTATTTTTTAATTTACTTAAGTGTAATTTAATTACTTTCTAATTTATTTAAATCAAAGTTTAATTTTACATTTTTTTTTATTAATCGCTTATCATTTGAATGTTATGTGGTGCTGTTATAATTAGCCCTTAAGATCCAGCTCTACCGTTAAAGCCGTTTTCTTATTGGTACAACTTTTTAACTTTAAGTGACATCGCCAAGGTTAGATCAAGGTTACATCAATTTTTTTTGAGACACCCTATTTTTGATTCGAAAATTTAATAGCTCATGTCAAAAGCTTTTTAAATCGCTGCAATAAGTTCATTTTCATTAAGTACTTTTTGAGTTATAAAATTTGAAATTTACAGCACCGGAATTAGCATTACTAAAGATATTAGATCGATTTAATGAAAATAAACTTTATTATAATGTTTTAAAAAGCTCTTGAAACATCAGTTATTAGATTTTGGAATCAAAAATAGGATATTCCATTTAAAAAATATCAATGAGGTCTTGATCTGAGCTTGACGATGCTACCCAAGGTCAAATAGATGTGATTAGTAAATAAATAAATGTGTATAAAAATCAATTTGTAAACTTTACAATTTTTATCTGAATCATTTTTCTCTTTACTAGTTACTTTTTACCTCTTACATATTATTTTTTAATGATATAGAATCTTAAATCAGTTTAAATTATGTTAACTTATACTTTGTTTTTAAGATATTTTATCGGTCCAGAACTTTTTACTTACTTTATATAATAAATATTAATATTTTTGTGTGAAACATATTAATTCAATATATTATCATTATTACAATGAATATAATAAGTATACGGAGAAGTGGGAATAAATAACTGCGCGGTAATCAATTCTTTTTTTCTTCTTCTTTTATTAGGACTATGTCCTGTTACTTCTGCTCTCTTGACCTTCCTGTGAGGTAGAGGTCCATCTCTCGTACCGCCTTTTAGACGGTCCTCTCGGAGAGTCGTTTGGAAGTAGGGATCTCCGATCTTGCTCATTTTTTATCACTAATCGATCGGGCTCCATCCACGCGATCTCTCCAGTGACGTCTCTTCGATCTCATGAATCTCACAACGTCCTGAATTCCGCATTTTCTCTCATATATCCTGATTTCTTATTCTCTTAGTGTCGCACGTTTTATGCTTCGAAGTGTTTTCATTTCCGCTGGTCGCGTTAGTTTTTTTGTTATCGCCGTTTCGACTTTAGTTTCAGCAGCGTAAGTTAGTATTAGACATACTTACGTAGGTTTTATATGCATTTATTCTTATTTTGCTGTTGATCTTCTTTTAGGTAACCAAATATTCGCGCGACGTTGTTGACTTACGTATCTACTTCCTTTGTGAAAGAGTTCCTACTGCTTGTTCCGAAATAACTTAAAACTCATGACTTGTTCAATGATCCTATCATATACTACCAGTTTACAATGAATAGGTTCTTTGGATATCACTATGGATTTAGTCTTCTCGACTGAGATTTCCATATTGAGCTCCTTTGAAATCCTGGTGAACCTGTGAAGACGCTTCATGTAGTTCGTCTTTGCTCTAGGCCATTAAAACATGGCATCGTCGGCACAGCATATTATTTTCCCATTTGGGTTTTCTGGCCCATTTTGAATATTCGGTCAATTTCTTTCACCTATCTTATTACCTTGTCCATTACGGCATTGAAGAGAATTGGACTGAGACTATCTCCTTGTTGAATTCTTATTACCATCAGCATTTCTGTTTTTAGTGCATTTCCTGCTTTGATTCTGATCTTGTTAATATTTAATTGTCAGCTTAATATTTAATATTTAAATCAGCTGTATATGTTTTGAGTGAACTTCGTACTGATGAACAATTCTTGTCACGTCTGAAGCCTAATTCTGTCAAATGCTTGTTTGAGATCCACGAAGCACAGGAATAAAGGCTTATCCAAGGATTTTTTCATCAGTTACTTTATAAAGAAGATAGCATTCAAGATCGAGCGGTTTTGTTGGAAGCGTCGTTCTTTGCTGGTTTCTACTAATTCAATTTTTATTGATTATATAACACTAAGGCGGTAGATCTTACAGCTAAGTTTGATTCAGGTATTAAAATTTAGCTGCTATTATCAAGTTTTTTTTTTCGTGATATTTTTATCATCGTTCCTTTGCGATACACTGCGAGTACTTGAGATTGTAAGAAAAGAATAGGAATGAGCTAAAAATGAGTTAAAAGCGATTCATAATATGATGTGTAAAAACAATAAAAAAATTGCTGATCTGATTTTTCGAAATACCACAATAGATAAAACCTAATTCAAAACAATATCTACAATCACCTCTCTCACTTGGATTTTTTGCACTGACGCAGTTACATGGATTGGATAATATACAAGTGCAATTATATAAGTGCTGTTCAGAGCGCGCGCTTTGAGCCATAGGAATAAGAACACTTGAATAGTCTACTTCATCATCCCCTTCCTATTGTACCATTTTCTTTCTTTCTTTTGTAGCGTTTTTGTAGTAAATGATATGACACACATGTCATTGTTCTACATTTTCAGACATGAGTGCCTCTTTTATCTCTATTGATATATAATTACTTTAATTAAACTTCATTGAAATTCATTTGTCTTATGTCTTAAAACAATTTTATAAAAATGTATGCATCTTTGAATCATTCAACTGTTAATTTAGGCATTAAAGCTAGCTTTGACCGTTATAAGTCTTTAATTCCTATTGGTCCCCCGTACTCTCTCTCTCTCTCTCTCTCTCTCTCTCTCTATTTTTATCTTTATTTTTACCTCTATTTTTATCTCTATATATCTACATATCTATTTCTCCTTCTTAGCGGTCCACACGAGATTAGAACTCTTTAAACTTCTTATTGGGCCGAAGATTCTACGATAAGTGGTTGGCGTTCGCGCGATTTAAACTCTGGTAATAAGTTCGCCAATAAGTTCCCTTGAAAGTTAGCGATTCCATAGCAGCGAGAATTTCGGCGAAGCGGTAAGCTGGCCGCAATAAATTCTCATTATTCTCTCGGACAAAATTTGCTCAATTCAGGAGAAGAATAAAAACATTCTTTATAATATTCCCCGTATATATAATTATATTATATTTATTTATTTGTTTTATAATCTTAAAGTTTGTGTAATAATATTTAAAGAGAAAAGAACATTATACGTAAGAATATGTCAAATTCCAAAAGTTGCTGTTTTATGGAAGAAGCTTTACATAATTTACAGAATAACATAATCCAGATTTAAAGTATTCAATATATTAATAATATAATAGTTAAAATTTAGAAAGTTTAATCGTCACAAATCAGATGCTTAATTAAACAGATTTCTACGAAGTAGACTTTTCCTTTTGTAGGATTTCAATCAAAGCTTGTGAAGTTAAGAATTAAGGATGCATGGGTCACATCTCAAAGCATTACCAAAAATATAAAAATTTCATTAAATAGATTGTTCTATTATGTCTGAATATTTGTGTAAAATTTAAGCACAATTCACTTATTGGTATAAATATTATTCAATTTTTTGTTAATCTTAATTCTTATGTAGTGTATTTCAAAATCATGTTTTAGTTGCTTAGTTTTATAGTTAATTAGTTTCATAGTTACAAATAATACTTATTTGTAAATTTGATGAAAAAATAACGTTACAAATTAAATACAATTTATTAAAATGCATTCAAATCACATCATTTGAATATATTAAATTTTAAATGAAAAGAACCCTCTATTATTTATTACATATTCTTGTAGTTTACCCTAAGAGATTTTCAAAACATTAGTAAAACATTAAGAAAATTCTTTTTTATTAAAAACTTTTCGAATTATAAGGTTTGAAAGTTACAGTACCATCGGTGTCAGAATTACCCAAAATGTTCGACCGACGACTAAAAACTTCTTAAACGTTGTTCAGGATTGTAACATTTGTCAAGGTACAGGTTATTAGAGATTGTTCCTTTTATTTCCATTTTTTAAGGTAAAAATTTATTTTTACATAATGTAACAAAATTACATAGTATGTTCCTCTAATTATTTTGCATATAAAAGTATAAGGTAAAGGAACGCAAAATATCAATAATTTACGCGACATTTTATAATTTATTCTGGTACACATTAACATGTAATATTAAGTACCTCGTAAATTATTAATTTTTTTATAATTGTACCGTAATATGTACTTTTATGAGCGGAATAATAAAATGAAATAAATGATGTAAAGAAAATATATATTTGCTTATTTAAAAAATTTTTCTTAATTTTATTCCGTCTAAACATTTTTTTTAAGCAACTACGTGCTTTCATTATACCAATTGATTCATCTCATTATTCTGTTTATAAAAGTATTAAGATACGATTATAAAAAAATAATTAAGCTTAGACATTTAATATTTCATATGTGTTAAAATAAAGTGTAAAATATCTTATAATCATTGGTTTTTGGATGTCTCTTAATATTTTTACTTTTACTTACAAAATAATTAGGCAACATTACGTAACAGTATGTACATATATGTGTAGATATACACACAAAAAATATATATACATATATATACACATACATACACATATATATGTACCTATATGTATATATATAAAATTTCATTTAAAAACTTTTAAGTAATCTCTCTTGACCAGACCTGAAGGATCTTTTCTCAAGGTCACTATCATTTTTCCTCTCGTAACTGAGCAACTTCTATCTGAAATATTTGCTTTAAATTATTAAAAAATTTTTAGATATTCTAGTAGATTAATTAAAATAGACAACACTGTATATATCGTTCGTAAAACCCACACGAAGATCACCGAGTAAATATTTGATTATGCTCAAGTTTACGGAACTCCTAAAACTCTCTCTCTTCTCTCCTCTCTTTCCTTCTTTCCTATTTTTTTTTCTTCCTTTTCTTTATCCTCTTCAAGAGAAGGAGATTCTCAAGAGAAGCTTGGGGACTAATAAAAGTCTAAGTTTCCGCATTGTCCCTTTGCTGCACTTACCTACCTACTAAATAATTTTAGTTCCTTTTTCTGTTTTTTTGTTATATCCGATATATGCTAACTACACATTGCACAATTTATAATGGATTTATGACGATATAATAAAATATTTTATCTATAGTTGAATGAAAGCGAAGAGAGAGAGGCAATAAAATTTTTTTTTTTTTATAACAATATCGTATAACAATATTACTTTTCAAGATTTAACAGTGTCAAGTGTTTTATATGAAGAATTTTTCTATTTAAATTAAATTGTTTCTGTGTATTAAATATTTTCTGTGTAATTTCTAAGAAAAATTATTATATTATTCATTTTATGTTTATTTTTATTAAAATAACAATTAATTTTTTTTTTAAAGTTACTTCTTGGCCTTAATTTTTCACTTAGTGTTAATTGTTTTAAATTTCTTTATTTTTTATACTGTTACTTCTTTAATTCTTTGTTGTAATACTTGAATTGAGTGATACAAAGCAATTTTGTGATATATAATAATGTTCTGAAGAAAAATTAAATAACTACTACTCTCTTTAGTTAGAAGAAAAAGTATATTAGATTCAACTTAGTGCCAGTTGTTAATATCAAGTCTTTTATACAAATGATATCATTAGAGTTAAATAAATAATAAAAATATATAGTACCACCTGGGTTTTACTTTTTAACTTGATAGTTTAATACAGTATTATACATTCGATGGCTAAAAGATTGCGATACTTTTTTTTCGATTGATTTCGAAACACAGCCTTGCTGGTAGAGTGGTTGAATGTAAATGGTTAAATCCATAAGTATGAACCAATCGTTCAGTAAGCAGAGTGCATTCCGAAAATCATTAAAATAAAGTGTCACAACATTTTTACCACCGAGTGTACAATAAAGATAGTATTACTTGGATTATAATAACTTAATTCGTCCATTAAATAAATAATTATGCTATAGAAAACATATTGCAAATTATTAGCAGAAATAAAATAAATAATAAATGAAATAAGTAAATAAATTATTTTGTAAAACGTTTAAAAATTTATATTCTTTGTTTTTTCTAAAACAAAGATTATACGCACTTCATATTTCTACTCTTCTTTTGCAAAAGTATATTTTTGTTTCTTTTGTATAAAATGAAACAGTTTTTTAAATTACGTAGTATAAAATTTGACTGCTATTGGTAATCTAGTGAATATAGCAGCAAACAGTTACTACGTTATGCAATAAATAGAATGGTTACAAAGTCACGCGACAGATATCGATCGATTATTACCACAATTCACCTTAATTCTGTAATATAGCAATTTATGATAATACCTGTATTATCATACACGCAAGTCTCGTTTATATTCTTCCACGATTTTATAGAAAACTACTGCACATACATATACATTATTTTACTTTTTTCATAACATAATAATAATAATAAAAGTTTAAATTAAAATACAATGTAGTATACTTTATTATTGTCTTATCAATTAAGAAATTGTAAATCTTCATTTTGTAATATTCTTTGTATAATATAATATTCCTTTTATTATAGTAATAAATAAGTTATTTTCATCGTAGGTTCCCGCGAGAACAACAGACATTGCCAAATCATTTCTACTTCACAGACTTCGAGAGGCATACCGCTGAAATCGCATCTTTTCATCTGGACAGGTAATATTTAACATTTTATTATTTATAAATATATGTTTAGAATACATGTACCTTTTCTTGACTTTACAAAATATATTATTTGAAAAAAATAAGATTACAAAGATATTGGAATAAAATTCCTAGGAAAGCTATTTAATATAAATTTAAAAGTTTAGAAATAATTGTTCAAAGATGTATCAGAAGTATGTACATAGTAAATACATTTATTCATTTAAAATAATTAAATCCAATAATAACAAGCAATTAAGTGAAATTATGAATGAATTTATCAGGTTAATTTAAAAATTAAAAGTGAAAATGTATATACCTTTGAATTTGTCAACCAACTTTTTGAAAAAAATTTTTTTAATATTCGTCAAATTAAGTTTGTACCTTAAAAAGTTTAAAATTATAAAGAATTAAAAAAATGTTAGCACCCCACTTTGAGATATTTTAAATTTGTAAACGATTGTTGTGTGTTTCGAGATTGTTTGTGTCATCATGAGTTTATTTATTTCAAAATAGTAGTAAGAATAAATTTCGCAATTTTTAAAAATATTTTAATTCCGTAAATCTTTCTATATCGCTTGCTGATTAGGTCCAAATAAGAAATTCTCGACTAGGGCATACTCAACTGTTTTCCAATCAGGCCGAAGTGAGGTATTCCCGACTGTATAGAGCATACCTTACCTTACCTCTTTCTGATAGAGGCTAATTGTACATCAGGCATGCTCTATCAAATTTCTGTTCAGAATTTTCTAGCACCGCTCTTATGCTCGAGGTCTTTACTAGAGAGTGAAACCATAAACGTGTATAGAGTTTAAATGAATAAAGGAAAGGATAACTTCGGTATTTACACCGCGCGGAGATTTACGCCACAGAAATTAGAAAAAATAGAAGCAATAAGGATAATTTTATAAGGAATGAAATTTTTAATGTTATATAATATTCATGCAAATTTAATAATTTAAAATATTTTTATAAATCTTTTATTGATTCACAGGCTTTTAGGATTTCGTAGAGCGATGCCGGTGAATGGTCGGACTCTTAACATTACAACGGAAATTTACCAGATTGCTGACAGTGAATTGCTTAAAACGTTCTTTGTGAGTCCAGCCGGCAACCTGTGCTTCCACGGCAAATGTAGTTATTATTGCGATACGGCACATGCCGTTTGCGGCAGTCCTGATACTTTGGAAGGTAGCTTCGCCGCCTTTTTACCGGATAAGGCTTTTGCAGCTAGGAAGGCCTGGCGGCATCCTTGGCGTAGAAGTTATCATAAACGGAAGAAGGCCCAATGGGAACATGGTAAAACACAATTATTTTCTTAGAAAGATAATATTGCAGAAATCTAAAAATTGAATTCTTAAAAAATATAAGATTTTCTTCTTATTTTTATATTACAATAAAATTGTTATAGTCAAAATAAATATTTCTTTTTTGCATTCTTTTTTTTTTATTTATTATTATCTAGATTCAGTATTGTACTGGCATAATACTGGCCTTATCAGGAAGATTCGGACACCAAGATGAAATGATTTTCAAATATACGTAACGACTCCGAAATTATTCGTTAGGCTCTTTATTCATCAATCAAATTAATTAACTGGTCAAGTGATATGGCTACATTGCACGTTATTAGACTTGGAATTTGAACTTTAAACGCACGTGGAAATCTCGACATGGACAAAACAGAAATTTTCTGTGCATTTAAACACAAACCGAAAGCTTACCACGAACTACAGAAATCTTCAGATATTAGACGCATTCAAGTTAACAAAGCGGCCAGCCTGCTTGCCGAGCAAATGAACGTGATTGTTTCTCATACATCCAACCAATCACATTCAACATTCGACGAGCAGACTAGCAATTATGTCCAGCGTAAACGCACCCAAATTCACTTCCATAAGCTACGCGATAAGTTGGAAATTTACCACTGATATTTGGTTTGATTCCGATTATTAATGCAAGAACACACAAAATCGGTTAGTGAGAATACAAGAAAAATGCAAGAGGTAACGTTAAAACTTATTTATCAGGATTTAGCAGGTGATAGTCCACAAGACATCCTATAACAGAATGTCCTAAGAACGTCCCGTTTAGCTGACGGGACATACACAGGACGTCTACGGGACGTTCTTATGCTATTAGAAAGAAAAATTGTGACGAACGTCAAATATGTTCTAATTTGTACATTTTTCCAAAATTACAGATTCCGATTACTGCACTTTGGTAAAAGAAATTCCACCGTACAATGAAGGTCGACGATTACTTGATCTAATGGACATGGCAGTTTTCGACTTTTTAACAGGCAACATGGATCGCCATCATTATGAGACATTTAGAATTTTTGGAAACGATAGTTTTACGTTACATCTAGACCATGGAAGAGGTTTTGGAAAACCTTTCCATGATGAAATGTCTATTTTAGCACCTCTTTTACAATGCTGTGTCATCAGACGAACTACTTTAAGTATTTTACTCCGGTAAGTAAAATCTTTTATTATTTTCAAAATAACCCGGATAGAAATTTATGTAGTTTGATTGAGCACCCAGCCAGTTACATTCGCAATGCGATATTCGTCGATAACAATATAGATAATAGAAGGATAAAGCGCACCCTCGCACACGACCACAATTACTCACAGCGGTCTAGGGACTTTACACTGTTCAAGCGCTATGAGTGGCTGGTGGTCAATCGCAACGTGGTCAAACTGATCGCCACTCATCATTGACGACAGGAGATAATATCTTTCACGATAACGTTATTTGCATACAAATTTAAAATTTTCATTAACATGTAATTATTATTATTGTTCTTATAAAGATACTTATTCACATTAAAACATTATTAAATTGCTTGTCAATTTAATAAGTAATATTACTACTCTTGTTCCATTCATGATTGTGTTTCGAGATCGAAAAAGGTTTCACACAGCGCACGGATTACAGAATCAAATATACATGTAATATATAATATATCATCTAAATACAGGTCAAGATGATATGGATGGAGATCACTTTTATTTAATTAGATTTATTCTCATCGATTCAAATTTGCATCAATTTGTAAAGTGGAACGTTCAACTGTATTACTCAACGTCAACTGCTATACTGCCAGCATCTCCGGCTTTCGTGTGTTCGTTGGTCTGAAAGTCTGTTGAGATCGTTATTATAATTAGTAAATACGAACACCTTTTGTATTTACTAATACAATAAGCGAGTAAAAAGAGCTGATACTCGTTCTCACGGTATAATTTCTGCTCTATACCTGTGTGAAGCACTTTGGAGAGACCGCCTTTCAGAGACGTACACATAGAAATCATATATGTTAGCCAAAATAAAGCGGATTAACTTAAAACTTAGGGGAACATTTTTAATAATACATACTTTAAGAAAATGTGTTTTTTTTAAATCAATTTTTTTCAATATTTCTGATTGGATAAAATCATTTTAAAAAATGAATTTATTAGGGGTGTGCTAGTACTCGAAAATTACGGGTACCCGAGTCTCGGGATGGGAATTTTTCCCGAGATTGAGTCGGAACCCAAATGTTTGTAATGTTTGAGTTTTACTCGTAAACTTTGGGTACCTGAATTTAAAATCGGGTCGAGCAGTGATCATAAATCTAGAAATTTTTTAATGGCATAAATATGCCATTAAATATGATATAAGTGATGCTTTTTTATGATTTTTTATTCGGGTTTTTCACTCAAATTTTTAATTTCACTAAAAGTTTAAATGAATAACCCGAATAAAAAATCATGCAGAAGCATCACTTATATTGTTAAAATTATTTTTAACGATATAATGTTTGTAATATTCATTTTTAAGATATACATTCATCTGAAAAAAAAAAAACAGATTACCAAATTTTTACATAATACAAATTTTTAATACATTTCAATTGTGACAATTTATCAAAAAATTATTGTAATAAGATGAATGAAAGCTTAAATTAAATATTGAACATTCTTTTTGATGACCATAGAAAGCAAATTTGAGTTACACAAAATATATTACAAAATAATAGATGTTGAAGATGGACATTGAAAGATAGGGAACATAATTTTTTCTTCAAACTATTACATTGCTCACGAAATGTTGTCAGTCACAAAAGTGTATGAGTTCATTGTTAAACAGATTCATGTTTTGAACTCTCTTTTCTAAGATTTTTTTTTAAATTATATCGTTTAAAAGAAAAGTTACAAAACGGAATTTTTTTTTGTAAACTCAGTGTAATTTAGAAACAAATTATTATAGAAAACTTAATCAAAAAGGAAATTAAAGTGTGAATTTCAAATCTTAACTCTTTTTAATTTCGTATAAGTGCGTGCGTATACATATGCAAACGTGTACGTATCTTATTCTCGGCGTTACCTAGGATCAGCAGGTACCTGATCTAATGTATATATGTGTGTGTGTGCGTGTGTGCACGCGCGCGCGCGGCTATATGTACATGTAAGTGTGTGTGAATGCGCGCGCGCAGACGTGTATGTAAATTAACAAATGCGAGAGGAGGCAATACATGTTACTAAACATACACGAACACTTGCACACATATACATATATACATACAAACATCACACATGAATCAGATACCTGCCTCGTGCACATCATTGATCCTGGGTAACGTCGAGTGCAGGACATACGCATGTATATGTACACGCACGCACTTACGCGAAATTAAGAAGAGTAAAGATTTGAAATTCACACTTTAATTTTTTTTTTTGATAAAGTTTCCTAAAACACTTTGTTTCTGAGTTATACTGGGTTTACAAGAAAAAATTATTCGTTTTGTAACACTTTTCTAAAACGATATAACTTTGTCAAGAAAATCGTAGAAAAGTTTTCAAAAATATGTATTCTTTTAAAAATAAATGAACTTACGAGTAGAGACTCATACGCTTTTGTGTTTGGCAGACAACTCCCTTGACTAATGCAATAGTTTAAAGAAGAAATTTTTTCCTATCTTTTAATGACCATATTCAACGTCCGCCGTTTTGTAATACATTTTGTGTAATTCAAATTTGATCTTCATAGTTATAAAGGGGAATATTCAAGCTTTGTCATGATCATATTACAGTAATTTAGTTGGAATAAAGATAAATAAATTAATAAATGGAAAACATTTTTTGTATGTAAATTAATATTTAATAAAAGTTGATCTTTAATTTTAGAATTTTAAAAATATTAAAAAGGGAAATAAAAAAATTTTTTTGTTTGTAGGATCCAGGTTTGATCGTTAAAGATTTTTCTTTTCTATTGATTAAATATATATACATTAGTCTGAATAAAAATTCTGATAAAAAATTATATAATTAACCCACTTTCCTCTGTAGCAGTTATAATTTAATCTGCAAGTATCAAATGTTTTGTGATTTCGTGTTGGCAACTAGACATTGATAGCAGAAACAAACGATTTGATTATAAATGTTTTAATCTGTGTTCTAGTGTTAATCTCACACTCGACATTATTTATAGGTTTCCCATTTCCGATACTTTGAACGTCCGTGAAATCCAGACAGCTGGACATCGGATTTATCGCGCAGCTTGTAAAAACGTGAATCCGCATCAAAGCAAGAATTCACGACCGCGTCCCAGTAATTCTGGTAAAACGCATCTCCCGAATTGCGGAACCCACCTTATCGCAAAGTTTTCTTTTTCCTTTTTTAGGTAGGATCGAATTTAACGCCACAAAACCTACTGTTAACTGTTCTGAATTGTATATCTCACTGATCGATGGATATCGATCAGTGCAATTTATCGTTCAATTCGACAGTTTTCTTTGCTAAATAAAAATATAATTGTTTTTATTTCACTATTTTATTATATGTGTGTATTAATGATCAATATTTAAATTCTTTTAAACATTACAATATATGAGACATATACATAATTAGAAATTTGTTCTTTTATCGTATTCTATTATAATAGTTTTTTTATTCTTCATATATATATTCTATTAAGACTCTTCAACAAAATTTGCACGATATGTGCCTAATAATTATTCAGATAGCACAGAGAATTCAAAAAGAATTTGAAAAGCATTTATTTGCCGTCATCAATGTTTTAAGACGTAAAGTTTAAGCTTTAAGCTCTAAACCGTGAAAAATTGACCAATTCTAGTCGATTATTCTTCTCACATTTGATTGATCGTGATCGGTCAATTTCTTACAGCTTAGGGCTTAAATTTAAGATTTACGCCTTAAAATCTCATTGTAGACGCTCATTGTAGACTGTTTAAGGGTAGGTTCCTGACTTTCATCATTTTGGTTTCAGCTCAAGTAAACAGCCAAGTCGCAATTCAATCCCGTATTAGCATCCACTCTAGGAATTCTAGGAATTGAATAGCAAGAAAAGTTATCTTAAAGCAATAAAAAATCAAATAAGACATTTAATAACTTGTCTTTAATAATATCTACGTTTTACAATATCTATAGCGTTTTATTATTTAGAGTAAGGCAACACACGGATAGATTATAAAACTATATTGATTACGCATTTGAGACTTTCCGGGTATTATCTTCAATTATACCAGAAAGTTTGCCGGTTATCGCATGTCTTTCTTCATATAAACTATATTAAAGAAAATGTTTTGTGGATAAAGACCATATCTGCGAGCACATAACCCAGGTTCGTAAGAACTAAAGAACGGATTATGAAAGATCAATGTTATAACATGTAAATAAAAAATAAAAACCTTAATACAAGCGAGTATAAAATAGACGATTTAATTATGATGAAGAATTTCAACATATTGAAAAAACTAATCGAAATGTCTAACAAGCTAAAATCGATTTTTATAAAAGTCCATAAATGATTAAAACAATCATTTAGTTTAATTTAAGCGATATACATAAATTCCAGCTTTTTTTTTAGCAATTAATACTAAAATATTTGGAAAAATGTATAAATATGAAATCTTAGAGATAAACTTATGATTATAGAAGATCTCTCTCTTACGATCGTACATCGTTAGGGTTAAGACGACCGAAGATGTAAGGAAAGATATAATAAATAAATTCAAAACGCGCAGAATTAGCCGAAATTAAAATCCGCGGCTTGATAGACACAAAATTTGGGCATTTATTTATTAATCACGAGTTAGTCGTTAGTAGTGAATTCAGTAAACCGATCGGACGATGACAAACACGTTATGCCTATTATACTTTGAATGCGATAAGCGATATCCAATGAGAGTTCTGCTTTTCCACACATGATAATGTAAAGCAAAACTCTTATTAGATATCATTGTTCCTTCATTGCTCATTGCGTCTAATGTGCAACAGATATTGAAAAGAAGAACTTCTGCATTTTGTACAATAATCAACTTACATTTACCTTCCATGATTGTCCACTACATACATTGCTTACATAATATAATTACTAATAGAAATATTCCTTCTCATTTGAAAAACTTATTGTTTAAGTAAATTACTTAATGAATTTAGAAAATTTTCTGTTAACATAATGCTCTATTTTGATTGCAGTTTCCATAATGGGCCCACACGGCTCAGCACTGCCATGCGGCAAAGTATGGCAAAAGATCCTGTGGCTCCCGTCTTATGGGAACCCCATTTAAACGCCCTAGACCGGCGGATAAACATTGTCCTGCAAGCCGTCCGTGACTGTATTGCCCGTGAAAACTCTTCGCAACAAGTCGTTCATAGCGATAAAATTGATTCGAAGTTATAGCTTTCAAGCAAATCTAGAATAAATAATCGTGATGTAAAAAATGTAAAGAAATGTTCTTTTCCCTCTCTCTGGCTACTTTCTCCTTCCTCCTGTTTCTCTCAAATTAATTTATATTAAAATTCTTTAAAAGGTGTATTTTATTTCTTCTTCCTCGTCATTGTTTATTTTTAAAATAATGTTTTTATTTGTTAATGTATTTATATTATATATATATATATATA